TAACTCGACTATCGTCTATGAAAAAAGTCGAAAAGTCGACTTTGTAAATAAAAGTCGAAAAAAGTCGGAAAGTCGAAAAAAGTCGAAAAGTCGAAAAAAGTCGAAAAGTCGAAAAAAGTCGATAAGTCGAAAAAAGTCGAAGAAAGTCGAAAAAAGTCGAAAAGTCGAAAAAAGTCGAAAAGTCGGAAAAAGTCGAAAAGTCGGAAAAAGTCGAAAAGTCGAAAAAAGTCGAAAATAGTCGAAAATTTTAAAAAAGTGGAAAAGAGGTCAAAAACTCTAAAATAGTCGGAAAAACTCGAAAAAAATAAAAAATAGTCGAAAAAAGTCGAAAAAAAGTCGAAATAAGTCGAAAATAGTCAAAAAGTCGTAAAAAATCGAAAAGTCGAAAAGTCGGAAAAAGTCGAAAAGTTGAAAAAAGTCGAAAAAAGTCGAAAAGTCGAAAAAAGTCGAAAAGTCGAAAAGTCGAAAAAAGTCGAAAAGTCGGAAAAAGTCGAAAGGTCGAAAAAAGTCGGAAAAAGTCGAAAAGTCGGAAAAAGTCGACCATTTATAAAATACTAAAAGTCGAAAAGTCTAAAAGTCGACTTTTAAATAAATGAAAAAGGTCGAAAAGTCGAAAAATCGACTTTTCATAAAATGGAAAAAGTCGAAAGGTCGAAAAGTCGACTTTTAACTAAATGCAAAAAGTCGAAAAGTCGACTTTTCGTTTCAACTATAGAACCCTAATTTGTTATATTCTTTAGAACTTGTGTTATTGTTAGTATAATTTTTCTACAAAACATCTTTTATACTAACAAATCTTCTAATATTTGCTATAGATAGAAAAAAACATTCTTTATTACCATCTTTAGTTTAATACAAAAAATCTTACTTTATTAACAAACTAAACTAAATAAACTTAAAAATAAGATTTTCTTTATTAAATTATAAAAATTATCTTGTTTTCAAAAACAATTCAAACGTTTCTATATCACTTTTAGCTACTTTACGTACAAAATAATGATTATTACCCTCTACTAAAGATTTCGGCGATATATACATATCCTTCTCCGGATCATATTGAGCGCGTCCTAACATTTTTAAAAATTCATGACGTTCCCGTAAACGAAACTCTCGTGAGGTTTAAAATTTCCGGCTGTTGTAATATCATTTGATGCGATAGTTGCATTTCCTGATGAACATAGGCAAAACGTTCAATAAGATCATCAGGTTCTGTGAAATTTGAAAAAAAAAACAATATTAATATTATTTTTAAATAAATAAAAATAAATTTAGCTTACTCAATAGCCATAATCGTGGTTTACTTAAGAGTAAACATTTAATTTCTTCCTTATCGAAACCCATTTCCTCGCGTATACTAAATGTGGCCTGACGTATATGTTCCATGTTGTAGGTGATCAAGCGCGGTAATTTACTGGCTAGAAAACGAACATCATCACCTCTTAAGGAGAATTCCTTTTGAAAATAGCCCAGTCGTTTATCAATACGCTTAGTGGAGAACATTAACCAAAAGGGATTGAGTGTGAGAATACGTTGGATTTGTATTGCACTAAAACGTTTCGCTTCCATATAATTTACTCTAGTTTGTAGGTCATCTAGGTCGACTTTGAATATTAAGGGATTTTTGGTTATAACATCACCAAAACTTTCGGCTGGCACTCCTTGATCTTTAAGAAATAACAGACGAGGTTTAACATCCTGTTCTAGATCCAATTTCAATACAAATTCTGGCAAGCCCTTGCGCCTTTCAATGGCACTTAAGTCTACACCCAATTGTATGAATTGCTGCAGTAATTCCGATTTGTCGACATAAGCCGCCAAGTTGTAGGTGGGTAAAAGTGGCTGTTTGCTAACTTCCGTGGATAGCTGCTCTTCCTTAGAGTCTTCCTGTCTTTTTAAAGTTTTATTTTTGTGCGGTTCTAAAATTTCTTTTAGCTGCTGCATACTAAGGCCACCCGTCAATTCGGCCAATTCTTTTTGTGCCAATTTTACCTCATCTTTTTCTTCTTCGCCACTGGTGACAGAAGGTAGGGCGCTAAATTCTACCCTTCGTTGTGGTAAACCTCTTAGATAACGTTTTGGTACATTAGTTTTAGTTAAATTTGTTAAAATTCGTAAATTTCGTAATATTAACATGTTGGTTTGTTTACTTTTTATTTACTTTGAGTTTGTTGCTATTGTAGTTTGAGTTGACAGCTAAAACAGCTGCTGGAGTGCCTTTAGTGTTGGAAAGTGTTGTTATAAATATAGTGTAGCCAGATGTAATCTTTAAAACTTTTAATGCATACTTTTAGGCATGTGTCTACAATAGAGAAAAAACAGTATACATATAAACAAATTTTTCTATAGAAAAATTGTAGTAAAACATTAAACTAATAAGTTCTGTACAGGAAATCTTTTGTACTTATAATTTGTCTTAAGGGATTGTGTTATAATGAGAATTTTTCGTATAGTAAAGCTGTTATACTAACAAGTTTTATATACAAAAATTGTTATACTAACAAGTTTTCTACTTAAAAACAGTTATACTGATACATTTTCTATAAAAAAACTATTACACTAACACTTGTATGAAGGATAAGCTGTTATACCAATAACTTATCTAAATAAAAACTGTTATAAAAATAATTATTCTAGAAATTTATCTTAAGAAAACTGTTATACTGACAATTTATCAAAAAAAACTGTTATACCAAAAATTTTTCTTTAGAACATATTATTATAAGAATTATTTAAAAAAACTCTTTATAATTAAATTTTTCAAACAAAACTGTTATACTAACAATTTACTGTAGAAAACCAGTTATAATTGCAATTTAAAAAAACTGTTACAAAAAAAATTTCTGAAAAAAACTGTTATATTAATAATTTTCGGAAAGAAAAAGAGTTATATTAACAATTTTTCTAAAGAAAAACTGTTATACTAATTATTTTTCTAAAGAAAAACAGTTTATACTAACAATTTTTCTAAAAAATACTGTTATACTAACATTTTTTCGAAAGAAAAACTGTTATACTAACTATTTTTTCTAAAGAAAAACTATTATATTAACAAATTTTCTAAAGAAAAACTGTTATACTAAATTTTTTTTTAGAAAAAACGTTACACTAAAAATTTTCTAAAGAAAAACTGTTATACTAAACTTTTTTGAAAGAAAAACTGTTACACTAACATTTTTATTAAAGAAAAATTGTCATATTAACAATTTTTCGAAAGATAAACTGTTGTACTATTTATTTTTCGAAATAAAAACTGTTATACTAACAATTTTTCTCAAGAAAAACTGTTATACTAACAACTTTTCTAAAGAAAAACTGTTATACTAACATTTTTTCTAAAAAAAAACTCTTTCTACAGAAAAACTGTTATACTAACAAATTGTCTAAAGGAAAACTGTTATATTAAGAAATTTTCCAAAGAAAAACTGCTATACGAAAAGTTTTTGTAGAAAAACCGTTACACTAACAATTTTTCTAAAAGAAAAACTAAAAATTGTTTGAAAGAAAAACTGTTATACTAACAATTTGTCTAAGGAAAAACAGTTAAACTAATAGTTTTTCTAAGTAAAAACTGTTTTACCAACAAATTTTCTAATGAAAAATTGTTATACTAACAATTTTTGGAAAGAAAACTGTTATACTAGCAATTTTTGGAAAGAAAAACTTTTATACTAAAAATTTTTCTAAAGAAAAACTTTTATACTAACATTTGTTTCAAAGAAAAACTTTTATACTAACAACTTTTCTAAGGAAAAACTGTTGTATTAAAAAACCGTTACACTAAGAATTTTTCTAAAGAAAAACTGTTATACTTACAACTTTTCTAAAGAAAAATTGTTATACTAACATTTTTTCTAAAAAAAAACTCTTTCTAAAGAAAAAACTGTTATACTAACAAATTGTCTAAAGGAAAACTGTTATATTAAGAAATTTTCCAAAGAAAAACTGCTATACGAAAAGTTTTTGTAGAAAAACCGTTACACTAACAATTTTTCTAAAAGAAAAACTAAAAATTGTTTGAAAGAAAAACTGTTATACTAACAATTTGTCTAAGGAAAAACAGTTAAACTAATAGTTTTTCTAAGTAAAAACTGTTTTACCAACAAATTTTCTAATGAAAAACTATTATACTAACAATTTTTGGAAAGAAAAACTGTTATACTAGCAATTTTTTGGAAAGAAAAACTTTTTATACTAAAAATTTTTCTAAAGAAAAACTTTTATACTAACATTTGTTTCAAAAGAAAAACTTTTATACTAACAACTTTTCTAAGGAAAAACTGTTGTATTAAAAAACCGTTACACTAAGAATTTTTCTAAAGAAAAACTGTTATACTTACAACTTTTCTAAAGAAAAATTGTTATACTAACATTTTTTCTAAAAAAAACTCTTTCTAAAGAAAAAACTGTTATACTAACAAATTGTCTAAAGGAAAACTGTTATATTAAGAAATTTTCCAAAGAAAAACTGCTATACGAAAAGTTTTTGTAGAAAAACCGTTACACTAACAATTTTTCTAAAAGAAAAACTAAAAATTGTTTGAAAGAAAAACTGTTATACTAACAATTTGTCTAAGGAAAAACAGTTAAACTAATAGTTTTTCTAAGTAAAAACTGTTTTACCAACAAATTTTCTAATGAAAAACTGTTATACTAACAATTTTTGGAAAGAAAAACTGTTATACTAGCAATTTTTGGAAAGAAAAACTTTTATACTAAAAATTTTTCTAAAGAAAAACTTTTATACTAACATTTGTTTCAAAAGAAAAACTTTTATACTAACAACTTTTCTAAGGAAAAACTGTTATATTAAAAAACCGTTACACTAAGAATTTTTCTAAAGAAAAACTGTTATACTTACAACTTTTCTAAAGAAAAATTGTTATACTAACAATTCTTATACTGTTATACACTATTTGAAAAATGTAAAACAAGTAAATTTTTTACAAATTATTTTTCTTTGCAAAAATTTTCCTCGAAACAAAGACAATAACAAAAAATTAGTCCATAAACCAAGTTGGTATGCATAACTTTTATTACAACTTTACGTTGGGGTGCGTAGCTGGTTGATCACAACATTTAAAATAAATGATATACGGAACACATGCTTGAAGACGCTCATTGAAAAAGTAATTATCGCCACAGGTATATTCCTCCACTTCCAAATTATTTTCACATTTAATATAATTGCGGCAATTATTAAAAGAACTGTTAACGAGCATATTACCACGGCCATCACAACGATTATAATCGCATTTAACATCGATTGGATCTAAACATTCTCCTTGCGCTTCACTGAAAAGCTTTCCAGCCGGACACTGGAACCAAATAGGTTGTTCATCTTGAGCAAATTCTCCCATAGGGGCGCAAACAAAGTAACCGCGACAAGAACCACCATCTGCTTTTTTCACTATATTAGTAATATTCTTTGGACATAAATTCGCGGCTATTGGATGGGCATTACAAATTACATTCTTCTTCTTATCACAAGATCCCTTTTCCACATTAAAGTATTGATTTTTGCAATAAACAGGCTTTTGTACGCCTTTGCTGCATACATAGTATTGTGAACAATCATTCTCATTACGAAACGCGGTTTTATCCTTCACCAGTTCACAAATATTATTAACATCTTTGCACGTAGAATCGCGAGGATAAACGCACTCTTGTCTAGTCTCATTAAAATAGTACTGCCAATCACAACTGCTGGCATAGGCTTCACCATTTAGACAATAATAACAGCCACGACAATTGGTTGGGTCCGCTACGAATCTTCCGTCACTTATACCCATACAACGATTATCACATATTGCAGTGGTATCAAGATTTGCGACACATTTTTCTTGTTCCGTATCATATTTCAAATTGCCGGAACAAGTGAAAATTTCACCACTATTGCCATTACACACCATATACTGTTCACAAGATCCGGGAACACGTACTTTTGTGCCGTTTTTGAATAAACGACAGAGTTTTGTGTGGTCTGAGGCATCTGCTGAGATTGTTGTAAATAGGTACACTACAAAAAGGAGTACTATTAAAAGCTGCAATGCTGCAATTAAAAAAGAAATACATTGAGTTTAGTAGATAACAACTCAGAGATATTTGCAAAGTCATGTGTCTTCTTAATAGGAGATTCTAAGAGATGTAAAAAATATAGACTAGACTATACACTGGACTAAAGGTCAGACTATAGATTAGACTATAGACTAGACTATAGACTAGATTATAGACTAGACTATAGACTAGACTATAGACTAGACTATAGACTAGACTAGACTAGACTATAGACTAGACTATAGACTAGACTATAGACTAGACTATAGACTAGACTATAGACTAGACTATAGACTAGACTATAGACTAGACTATAGACTAGACTATAGAACTAGACTATAGACGAGACTATAGACTAGACTATAACGACATAGACTAGACTACTAGACTACTATAGACTAGACTATAGACTAGACTAGACTAGATATAGACTAGACTTAGACTAGACTATAGACTAGACCTATAGACTGATATCGACTAGACTATAGACTAGACTATAGACTTAGACTATTAGACTAGACTAATAGACTAGAATATAGACTAGACTATAGACTAGACTATAGACTAGACTATAGACTAGACTCAATAGACTAGACGATAGACTAGACTATAGACTAGACTATAGACTAGACTATAGACTAGACTATAGACTAGACTATAGACTAGACTATAGACTAACTATAGACTAGACTATAGACTAGACTTAGACTAGACTATAGACTAGACTATAGACTAGACTATAGACTAGACTATAGACTAGACTATAGACTAGACTATAGACTAGACTATAGACTAGACTATAGACTAGACTAAGGACTAAGACTAGACTATAGATAGACTATAGACTAGGAACTATAGACATAGACTATAGACTAGACTATAGACTAGGACTATAGACTAGACTATAGACTAGACTATAGACTAGACTATAGACTAGACTATAGACTAGGACTATAGACTAGACTATAGACTAGGGTAGTGTGTAGAGGGTAGTGGTCGAGGGGGTTTGTGTTTAGTCGTGGACAATCGTGCATGCCTATCAGTAGGGCTGTAGGTATCCTTGAAAGTTTCACACCTCCTGCGTTATCGAAAAAAAAAAAAAAAAAAAAAACTATAGACTAGACTATAACTAGACTATAGACTAGACTATAGACTAGACTATAGACTAGACTAAAGACAAGATAATAGACTAGACAATAGACTAGACTATAGACTTGACTATAGACTAGACTATAGACTAGACTATAGACTAGACTATAGACTAGACTATAGACTAGACTATAGACTAGACTATAGACTATAGACTAGACTATAGACTAGACTATAGACTAGACTATAGACTAGACTATAGACTAGACTATAGACTAGACTATAGACTAGACTATAGACTAGACTATAGACTAGACTATAGACTAGACTATAGACTAGACTATAGACCTAGACTATAGACTAGACTATAGACTAGACAATAGACTAGACTATAGACTAGACTATAGACTAGACTATAGACCACACTATAGACTAGACTAAAGACTAGACAATAGACTAGACTATAGACTAGACTATAGACTAGACTATAGACTAGACTATAGACTAGACTATAGACTAGACTATAGACTAGACTATAGACTAGACTATAGACTAGACTATAGACTAGACTAATAGACTAGACTAATAGACTCGGACTATAGACCTAAGACTAAATTAGACTAGACAATAGACTAGACTATAGACTTGACTATAGACTAGACTATAGACTAGACTATGACTAGACTATAGACTAGACTACAGACTAGACTATAGACTAGACTATAGACTACACTATAGACTAGACTATGGACTAGACCTATGACTAGACTATAGACTAGACTATAGACTAGACTATGACTAGACCTATAGACTAGACGTATAGACTAGACTATAGACTAGATCTAGACTAGATATAGACTAGACTATAGACTAGACTATAGACTAGACTATAGACTAGACTATAGACTAGACTATAGACTAGACTATAGCCTAGACTATAGACTAGACTATAGACTAGACTATAGACTAGACTATAGACTAGACATAGACTAGCTATAGACTAGACTATAGACTAGACTATAGACTAGACTATAGACTAGACTATAGACTAGACTAGACTAGACTATAGACTAGATTTAGACTAGACTATAGCCAAGACTATAGGACTAGACTAGGCTATAGACTAGACTATAGACTAGACCAACGGTTCCCAAAAGGGGGTCCGCGGACCCCTAGTGGTCCGTAGCAAAATCCTAGGGGGTCCGCGAAGACGAACGAAAATAATCATGAATAAAAAGTATTCTCTATATGTTAGAAAATATTAAAAATATCTCCAAATTTTTCATAAATACTAAAATACACAATTTTTATTCAATAATCCCAGATTTGTTGATGACTTTTTGAATTTTATTGTTTCGGTCGTTTATCAGGATGAAGCTAGGCCATACAAATTTATTGTTTCACTTTTATAAAGTAAAGTATTACGTGATTTGTAATTTTTATAAATGTATATGTATCGAAATAAATGTTTTTATATCAGACGGATAATGATTTGCCTTAGAATTAAATACTGATATTAGTATCCCGGAATATGAAGTTAGGTCACATTTCATAATATTTTTTAAATTGTAAGCAAAAGTGTTAATCTAGTTAATTTTAAATATAAATATTCCATTCCGACGTGATACACAGATTTTAACTTCATTTTGTTGTCCAATATTATTAAATCAACATCAGAAAATTCATAGCGTTTTGCGTAAATAGTCAAAACCAGGCAGTAAAATAATTCGTAGGTATTTTAAAATTCAAATTTAAGATCCAAATTCACAGTACATTCGCAAAGAGTTCAGGTCATATTTTATGTGGGTAACGCATTCCGCAACAGCATCGAAGAAGTCTAACTTTCACATATTTTCCCGAAAACTTAGCTTACATACTCAGCTCACTCCTACGCAAAAAAAATTAGAAACATGACTCTTTAAGCACATGTCGACAATACTTGATAAAGAAACCTTTTCGTTACCCTGACGAGAAATGAACATGAAAGCTCTCACGATCATAAAATTAAACATCATGTTAGAAGTCATTCTATATTTAAAACCATGCAATTGAAAACATCTCCGAAATACTAAATATTCTCAATGTACGGGAATATTGTATAGGGTTTATGGACCAGGACTAAGACAATTTTCGGATGAACAATTATTTATAACAATAAGATATCAAAATATGTATGGGGGTCCGTGAAATTAAATAAATTCCTCAAGGGGTCCGCGAAGTAAAAAACGGTGGGAACCGCTGGACTAGACCATAGACTAAACTATAGACTAGACTACACTATAGACTGGACTATAGTCAAGATTATAGACTAGACTATAGTCAAGATTATAAACTAGACTATAGTCAAGATTATATACTAGACTTTAGTAAAGACTAGAAAGTGTTTTAAGACCACATTTTAACATCCCAAAACGATATGTTTTAGCCATTCCGAATTGTTTACTTTGTTTTTATAATATTTTAAAGCACAATCTCTATTAATGTTCTCTTTCGTTACAATATTATATTATTAATTATAAAACTTTGACAAGTTTGCAAATTATGACATTTTTTTTGACAATTATTAAATTAGAATTTCTTGTAAACATACATATCTATATTTTTGTTATCTATAACATGTCACTATTTTTTGGTTTTTATATGTATGTATACCTTTCATTTTCACTATTTCAGCTATAGTTTTTATATGGAGATGTTTTCCCTTAGCAATTCACAGAGCAACTAATTGCTCTTACAAATTGCAGGTACCTTTAAAAGATATTTCAAATTGAAAATTCTGTGGGGGTCTTATATCTAATCAAAACTTTGCTACCTCAATATATATATTTTTTCCTAGGTTTTGCACTTTTATTTTATTAGTCATTGATAATGTCAAATATATGTATATAGTATATAATCATTTGCACTTCATATTTGTCATTAAACATTTGTTTTAAGTTTTTACTAATTGTTTTAATTTGATTTGAGTAGGAAGATATCAGTATAGTGTAAACATGAGTGAAAGTGGTATTTCCTTTACACTGAAAGAAATATAGGATTTAAATACAAATAAATATATAAAGTCTTCAGATATTATGATTTTACCAACATATGTACATACATATTTAGAATCTATTAAAAATCCTTAATATATGTATGTATATCTATCTGTACAGTCTCATCTCTATCTAGATAATAATTTTCAATGGTTGTCTAAATATATTCATTTTCCCGGTGTCCCTTTTCTCACATCCACGTCACTGATAAATTTCCTCAATTATTAAAGACGTCAGAACAATTTAAAATTTACCAAGTCTTTATCTTATATTTCGCAATGTGCTTGTAAAATAGTATTACCTAGAGATAGTTTAAGTGTGCCATGATAACTGGTTTTTGTCACTGTAAAATTTCTACCTCCTGTTAAATAATTTCGCAAATTTTATTGAAAGTGAAATACGCAAAAAAAAAAAACTTAATCAAATTGTTTTGGAATATTCTACTATTCTAGATCTTTTTAACTGGCCAATTAATAACTACTATATGCAATAGTTGAGATAAGATATATAACGTAAGTTGTTAAAGCAAAAATCGAGATCAAATATAGAAAACTGTTCATTATGTAAGTTTCCGGATCAATTAAATTTTTAAAATACAGCTGTGATAAGAGATCAGGAAAAAGTTTCATTAATTCACTCAATCAAACTCATAAAAAGATTAAAATACGGTCTAGGCTATACGCTATAGAAAAGAATGTAGACTATACCATAGACTAGATTATAGTTCCGACTATAGTATAGATTATACTATAGGCTTGACTATATACTAGACTATAGACTAGACTTTAGACTAGAATATAGACTAGACTATTGACTAGACAATGGACTAGACTATAGAATAGAATATGGACTAGAATATAGACTAGACTATAGACTAGACTATATACTAAACAATAGACTAGACTATAGACAAGACTATAGACTAGACTATAGACTAGATTATAGACTAGACTATAGACTAGACTATAGACTAGACTATAGACTAGACCATAGACTAGACTATAGAATAGACTAGACTAGAATATATACTAGACTATAGACTATACTATAGACTATAGACTAGACTATAGAATATACAATAGACTAGACTATAGACTAGAATATAGACTAGTCTATAGACTAACTATAGACTATACTATAGACTAGACTATAGACTAAACATAGACTAGACTATAGACAGACTATAGACTAGACTATAGACTAGATATAGACTGACTATAGAATAGACTAGACTAGATATACTAGACTATAGACTAGACTATAGACTAGACTATAGACTAGACTATAGACTATACATAGACTAGACTATAGACTAGACTATAGACTAGTATAGACTAGACTATAGACTATACTATAGACTAGACTATAGACTAGATACTATAGACTAGACTATAGACTAGACTATAGACTAGACTATAGACTAGACTATAGACTAGACTATAGACTAGACTATAGACTAGACTATAGACTAGACTATAGACTAGACTATAGACTAGACTATAGACTAGACTAGATACTATAGACTAGACTATAGACTAGACTATAGACTAGACTATAGACTAGACTATAGACTAGACTATAGACTAGACTATAGACTAGACTATAGACTAGACTATAGACTAGACTATAGACTAGACTATAGACTAGACTAACTAGACTATAGACTAGACTATAGACTAGACTATAGACTACTTAGACTAGACTATAGACTAGACTATAGACTAGACTATAGACTAGACTATAGACTAGACTATAGACTAGACTATAGACTAGACTATAGACTAGACTATAGACTAGACTATAGACTAGACTATAGACTAGACTATAGACTAGACTATAGACTAGACTATAGACTAGACTATAGACTAGACTATAGACTAGACTATAGACTAGACTATAGACTAGACTATAGACTAGACTATAGACTAGACTATAGACTAGACTATAGACTAGACTATAGACTAGACTATAGACTAGACTATAGACTAGACTATAGACTAGACTATAGACTAGACTATAGACTAGACTATAGACTAGACTATAGACTAGACTATAGACTAGACTATAGACTAGACTATAGACTAGACTATAGACTAGACTAGACTAGACTATAGACTAGACTATAGACTAGACTATAGACTAGACTATAGACTAGACTATAGACTAGACTATAGACTAGACTATAGACTAGACTATAGACTAGACTATAGACTAGACTATAGACTAGACTATAGACTAGACTATAGACTAGACTAGACTAGACTATAGACTAGACTATAGACTAGACTATAGACTAGACTATAGACTAGACTATAGACTAGACTATAGACTAGACTATAGACTAGACTATAGACTAGACTATAGACTAGACTATAGACTAGACTATAGACTAGACTATAGACTAGACTAGACTATAGACTAGACTATAGACTAGACTATAGACTAGACTATAGACTAGACTATAGACTAGACTATAGACTAGACTATAGACTAGACTATAGACTAGACTATAGACTAGACTATAGACTAGACTATAGACTAGACTATACTAGACTATAGACTAGACTATAGACTAGACTATAGACTAGACTATAGACTAGACTATAGACTAGACTATAGACTAGACTATAGACTAGACTATAGACTAGACTATAGACTAGACTATAGACTAGACTATATAGACTATAGACTAGACTATAGACTAGACTATAGACTAGACTATAGACTAGACTATAGACTAGACTATAGACTAGACTATAGACTAGACTATAGACTAGACTATAGACTAGACTATAGACTAGACTAGACTATAGACTATAGACTAGACTATAGACTAGACTATAGACTAGACTATAGACTAGACTATAGACTAGACTATAGACTAGACTATAGACTAGACTATAGACTAGACTATAGACTAGACTATAGACTAGACTATAGACTAGACTAGACTATATACTAGACTAGACTATAGACTAGACTATAGACTAGACTATAGACTAGACTATAGACTAGACTATAGACTAGACTATAGACTAGACTATAGACTAGACTATAGACTAGACTATAGACTAGACTATAGACTAGACTATAGACTAGACTATAGACTAGACTATAGACTAGACTATAGACTACACTATAGACTAATGCTATATTGACAATAGGCTAGGCTACAATAAAGTTTTCGCATTATAAATAACGGATACGCTGTTTTTGAACATGATTTATCTTCAATGGATTCATTCGTCTATAAAATCTTGAAGCTGGTGATATAGCAGAAATTGTCCAATTGGTGAATAAACTGGTCTTACCATAAGACAGTACGTGCCAAAAAGTCTATTAATTTATGCTCTTTATATTTATAAATTATCAAGTATTTTTTCCTATTCTTTTAGATACAAATCTAAATGCAGAATCTAATCATAAATAGATATTCGCATTATAAATTGTAACGTCCTATCTTATGGCCCCTTTGTTGTTATGGTAGTTAATATTTTGAATACATATATTGAAAGTAATCTTATCGTAACTAATATTTATCACAAATTTATTTTAAAAATAAATTCGAGTCTTAAATAATAAAATAAACATATATGTACATACATATATTTGAAATAACTTCAGTCTTTTGCTAAACACCCAACAGTTCGGTCCTTAAAATTCAACATGAAAGGTAAATTAAATAATTAAAAGAAAATTCCATAATGATAACACAATTTTCCCTCATAAAAGATCCTTTATTAATCTGTTTGGCGGCCGTGGCTCTAATGTGGTCAATACTGCCCGTAACTATAGTGGGGCAACGTAATGCTGATCCTTGTCGTCTTTTCCCAATGAAACTAAATTGCGTGATCCAGATGATTGTAGTCAAGAAATCATATGTATTGATTTTAAATCAACTCCTGGTGTTCAATGTAAGGGCTCCACACCTTTCTACAATAAGGATACATTCAAATGCGTAAAAGATTTAACCGATCGCAGTACATGCGAAATCGATTGTAAAAATAAATCTCATACATTTGTACAAGATCCAAAATCATGCTATGGTTATTATTATTGTCAAGACGAAGATTTGGCTCTATATGGTCACTGTCCACAAAGTTATCACTTTGATCAGACTGAGCAGATGTGTATTTATGATTTTAATTCGACCTGCAGCTCTCATAAATTGAACTTTTGCGCCATCGTTACGACGGGCATTAAATTTAAAGATGAATCCAATTGCGGAAAATATTTCGAATGTGTACAGAATAAAGCAACGAAAAACGTAACACTTAAAAATGCATTTTGTGAAAGCACCGCACCTTTTTATCATCCCGCTAATGGAACATGTATAAAAGAAACTATAGAAGGATGTCATCCAGTACCGGAAAATGTCTGTGGTTCAGGAAAAGGAATTAAAAGAAATAAATTCGTCAATGATGGAGCTACTTGTGGTGGCACTTTCTTTTGTGCTGATTATGGCTCTAAACCAGATCCAAATCCTCAATGGTATAAATGTCCGAATAATTTGTTTTTTAGCGAGGTGGAACAAATGTGCGTAGATCCATTGAAAGTTGCATGCCATAGAGATCGTTGTGAGGGTAGTAAGAGAACATTTGTGGTCAGTAGTGAAAGTGGTTGTCGTCATTATCTTCGATGTGAAAATGGTGTTCAAGTGGGAGGAGGAAAGTGTGTTAATACATTCTTCGACGAAGAACAGGGTATATGTACCACGGAAATAATAAAATATCCAGCTTGTTATCATAAATAATAGAATAAATCATGTACATACCTATATGTATATAAATAGAGTATAATATGTTGCGATTTACTTTTTTATTTGAAATATCGACAAAATCAACCCATAGATTAGACTATAGATTGGACTATAGAGTAGACTATAGACTAGACTATAGACTAGACTATAGACTAGACTATAGACTAGACTATAGACTAGACTATAGACTATAGACTAGACTATAGACTAGACTATAGACTAGACTATAGACTAGACTATAGAATAGACTATAGACTAGACTATAGACTAGACTATAGACTAGACTATAGACTAGACTATAGACTAGACTATAGACTAGACTATAGACTAGACTATAGACTATAGACTAGACTATAGACTAGACTATAGACTAGACTATAGACTAGACCTATAGACTAGACTATAGACTAGACTATAGACTAGACTATAGACTAGACTATAGACTAGACTATAGACTAGACTATAGACTAGAGACTATAGACTAGACTGAATAGACTAGACTATAGACTAGACTATAGACTAGACTATAGACTAGACTATAGACTAGACTATAGACTAGACTATAGACTAGACTATAGACTAGACTATAGACTAGACTATAGACTAGAACTATAGACTAGACTATAGACTAGACTATAGACTAGACTATAGACTAGACTATAGACTAGACTATAGACTAGACTATAGACTAGACTATAGACTAGACTATAGACTAGACTATAGACTAGACTATAGACTAGACTATAGACTAGACTATAGACTAACTATAGACTAGACTATAGACTAGACTATAGACTAGACTATAGACTAGACAGAACTAGACTAGACTAGACTATAGACTAGACTATAGACTAGACTATAGACTAGACTATAGACTAGACTAGACTATAGACTAGACTAGACTATAGACTAGACTATAGACTAGACTATAGACTAGACTATAGACTAGACTATAGACTAGACTATAGACTAGACTATAGACTAGACTATAGACTAGACTATAGACTAGACTAGACTAGACTATAGACTAGACTATAGACTAGACTATAGACTAGACTATAGACTAGACTATAGACTAGACTATAGACTAGACTATAGGCTAGACTATAGACTAGACTATAGACTAGACTATAGACTAGACTATAGACTAGACTATAGACTAGACTACAGACTAGACTATAGACTATATAGACTATACTATAGATTAGGCTATAGACTAGAGTATATACTAGACTATAGACTAGACTATATACTAGACTATAGACTAGACTATAGACTAGACTATAGACTATAGACTAGACTATAGACTAGACTATAGACTAGACTATAGACTAGACTATAGACTAGACTATAGACTAGACTATAGACTAGACTAGATTCGACTAGACTAGACTATAGACTAGACTATAGACTAGACTACAGACCAGACGATAGATTAGACTATAGACTAGACTATAGACTATAGACTAGACTATAGACTAGACTATAGACTAGACTATAGACTAGACTATAGACTAGACTATAGACTAGACTATAGACTAGACTATAGACTAGACTATAGACTAGACTATAGACTAGACTATAGACTAGACTATAGACTAGACTATAGACTAGACTATAGACTAGACTACAGACTAGACTATAGACTAGACTATAGACTAGACTATAGACTAGACTATAGACTAGACTATAGACTAGATTATAGACTAGACTATAGACTAGACTATAGACTAGACTAGACTATAGACTAGACTATAGACTAGACTATAGACTAGACTATAGACTTGACTATAGACTAGACTATAGACTAGACTATAGACTAGACTATAGACTAGACTATAGACTAGACTATAGACTAGACTATATACTAGACTATAGACCAGACTATAGACTAGGCTATAGAACTGAACTAGAACTGAACTAGAACTGAACTAGAACTGAACTAGAACTGAACTAGAACTGAAATAGAACTGAACTAGAACTGAACTAGAACTGAACTAGAACTGAACTAGAACTGAACTAGAACTGAACTAGAACTGAACTAGAACTGAACTAGAACTGAACTAGAACTGAACTAGAACTGAACTAGAATTGAACTAGAACTGAACTAGAACTGAACTAGAACTGAACTAGAACTGAACTAGAACTGAACTAGAACTGAACTAGAACTGAACTAGAACTGAAATAAAACTAAACTAAAATTCTACTAGAACTGAACTAAAATTTAAATTGCTATACTATGAATTAGAAATTATATACACTAGGATTTACAATGGACTAGAAAATACAAACAAGTTATTGTATGTATAAATGTGAATGTATTTAGTAAAGTTTTTATTTTTTATTAGTCATTAATTTATTAAAATTTTTTCTCACAAATCGGATATGTAATTTTTGTATAGACACAAGTTTCAGTAACTGGATCGAAATATTTATTATTATCACATGGAACTTCTTTGTGCGTATAGCCATTGGTACATTCTAAATAATGCTTACAACCAGGTTTTTCGCTCAATACTTTGCCACTCATATGACCATCACAACGATCTTCATCACATTTAACATAATTTTGATCACGACAGTATTGTGTTTCTTCATCGAAAAAAAAATTCTTTTGACATTGACCCCAAGTCGGTTTTTCATCAGGATCATAATTCCAAGACCCATCTTTTTCTGTTTTCTTGGGCTTGCTCTTGCAATAGAAAAAGCCACGACAAGTGGCTTGGTCCTTTACGAAAGCATTAAGTATGGCCAATTTTGGATTTCCACAGGCATAGTCGGGTATCGGATGTTTATAGCAATTGACCTTTGCTTTTTCAATACAGTCACCTGAACGTGCATCGTAATAATTTCCCAATGTGCAGTTTTTTTCTTGAAGAGCCTCATTTTTATCGCATTCGTAGTATTTGCGACAATTATTTTCATCCCAAATACTTACCGATGTTTTAGCCACTTTACATATATCGAAGGTTTTGTCGCATTTACCATTATCGTAAATACATCTTTGTTCCGTTTGATTGAACATTTGTCCCACGGGACAGAAACCTGTCTGACTAACTGTGCCATTTTTGCATTCATGCCATTCCCCACAATTTTTTTCATCTGCAATCCATTTATGACTAGATTTTGAACATACTGGTGTGCAATAACTGTCGGGTTTTTTAGGTTTTCCACAATCCATTGTTGACAATAAAACTATTTTATCACCGTTACATTTTATGGAATGCGGCGTACTTTTGCCATCTTGACATATTAATGTTTCAGTGCAGGAACTGGGATTACGCACAATTTCACCATTCTTGAAATAACGACAGACATCTTCGGATAATGGTACTCGTAGTTCGATTGTGTAATATTTAGGCAAAAACAGAATTCCCATAAAGAGTTTAATCACAACAGGATACGCTGATAGAGTGTAATAAGAAAGGAAACAATATTAGTCCTAGAGTTTAATAATAAACGTATCTGCTGAACAATATTTAGCTTTATAATTTTTTTGTACCTTTCATGGTTTTTTTGCTTAAGAAAACCAAACCGAACTATATTTGTAGAACTTTCAGAAATAACTAAATTTGAATGCAAAATGTTTTGGTTATAAATGAAATATTACTTTGTCTTAAGTTTTAATTAAAGAATGTTAGTTTTGATATTATACTATAGATTAAACATTTCGTTTGTAACAGTAAAAAAATACCCGGCACTGATGATTGACACTGATATATTTTAAAAAATAATGTGGTTTGGACCTACCCATCTTTCAAAGTAATTTTCTAAGAATGTTTTCTGGAAATTAAAAGGATTGAAAAGCAGCGAATATGTAGATTATAACAGAGACCCTACAATAAATACACCCTACGCACCACAGCTATAGACGTTATTAATACTCTATGGCAGGGTATTTTATAGTTCTACTTGAACTATGTTTTTTTATGTCAGTTTTTTGTTTCTGCTTTATCAATGTTGTGAACAAATTTGACATTACCTATTTATGACAAAAATTTAAAACAAAATATGTTTTGTCGAATCTTGCTGATAAAATTTTATTCATCATACAAAATTCTAATTAAATCCGCTTAATATTTATTCAATATTAATTGCAAGGCCCTCTTGGGGGTAAAATATGATGAACAGAGCAGAATATAAAATGGAACTAAAACAGAATTAGAACAGAATTAGAACAGAACTAGAGCAGAATTCGAACAGAATTAGAACAGAATTAGAACAGAACTAGAACAGAACTAGAACAGAACTAGAACAGAACTAGAACAGAACTAGAACAGAACTAGAACAGAACTAGAACAGAACTAGAACAGAACTAGAACAGAACTAGAAAAGAACTAGAACAGAATTAGAACAGAATTAGAACAGAACTAGAACAGAACTAGAACGAACTAGAAACAGAACTAGAACAGAACTAGAACAGAACTAGAACAGAACTAGAACAGAACTAGAACAGAACTTAGACAGAACTAGAACAGAACTAGAACAAACTAGAACAGAACTAGAACAGAACTAGAACAGAACTAGAACAGAACTAGAACAGAACTAGAACAGAACTAGAACAGAACTAGAACAGAACTAGAACAGAAACTAGAACAGAACTAGAACAGAACTAGAACAGAACTAGAACAGAACTAGAACAGAACTAGAACAGAACTAGAACAGAACTAGAACAGAACTAGAACAGAACTAGAACAGAACTAGAACAGAACTAGAACAGAACTAGAACAGAACTAGAACAGAACTAGAACAGAACTAGAACAGAACTAGAACAGAACTAGAACAGAACTAGAACAGAACTAGAACAGAACTAGAACAGAACTAGAACAGAACTTAGAACAGAACTAGAACAGAACTAGAACAGAACTAGAACAAAACTAGAACAGAACTAGAACAGAATTAGAACAGAACTAGAACAGAATTAGAACAGAATTAGAACAGAACTAGAACAGAACTAGAACAGAACTAGAACAGAATTAGAACAGAACTAGAACAGAACTAGAACAGAACTAGAACAGAACTAGAACAGAACTAGAACAGAA